TGTTTTAAATATACCAGCAAAATAGACCTACATTGTTAGACAGATATTTCATCTGACATACCACTTTTTTATATGCTCAACTGATATTGGTTCTTATAGCAACTTCATAATCTTTTCCTGCATACTGTGACTCTAAAGTACTTGAATGGAAATGCCTCCTCTACAATGACCAGAAGCATAGAGGTCTCTTTTGCTAATCTTAAGATTTTAGAGTGTTTTTTAGACATCACTTTTTCTTGTGTATGATTTGCTTCAGTTTGCAGTTACATTAAAATGTTATCTGTCCTTCGTTACAGTGGTGCTAAACATCTGTATTGTAAAATATGTTTTTTGATGGATTGATCCAGGAAACTTGTAGTAATAATCTTCAAAAGTAATTGGTTATTAAATAAATCCAAATGATTTAATTGATTATCTTCAGCAGTAAATACGGCTGTCTTTACACATCCCAGAAATGATTAACATTTGAGATCTTTCCTCTATAATAGGAAAAGTCTACCCTGAGTATGCACTGCGTTGCAGCTTAACTTAAAGTGGGTATTTTTAGTGGAGCAATTATTTTGACAGTTGTAGGAGTATTTCTTTTGAGATTTGTTTTCTGTATTGACAGTGCAGGACTAGATACGGTTGAAGACATTTTCTGTCTGATCCAACAATGGTTCTATGAACTTGTACAGCAATTGGTTCATCTCCTGTAGAAATATGATTTCGTAATGACTAATAAACTGGCAAATATGAAGCAAACCATTTTTTCGATAGGATGGAGAGACGTTCTCAGCAGACGACTGTTAACAAGTAATTCTATCAATGTGAACAATTAGTGTGCGTGAAGTCATCGTGACCTCTGATTTAAAATCTGCTATTTTACTAAAATGTACAAATGAAATACCAACAGATTCCAAGTAACATCTGTGGATTTGTCAGAATTGTTAAGATTTTAACAATTGTGTAGATCTGGCTTGAAACTTTGTTGTATTGAAGGAAAAATAACCTTGTGTAACTTGGCAAGGGCCAGGACAAATCTAGGAGTCGGGGCTCCACTGGTGAGACTACAGAGTTAGGCCTCATTCACACGAGAAATGGGTGGCCCGTACAGATCCGTGCTGCGTGCACGGCCGTATCTGGCCGCTCTCGGGAAGGACAGGTGCTGCGTGTTATTACACGCAGCAGCCTGTCCTTCTCTATGGGAGTGCGCCGCCCTACGCTCACCCGACCTGCACGTCCGTGCGGGTGCGTGTGTCCGTACTCGTATGCTGACAGGATGAATCCTTTAATATATACGGGTCAGTTTTCGGATATTTTATTGTTTTGTCCCCTCTGTTGTCACATGAAAATTGTACTGGGATCATCATTTTTTCTGTTCAGATTCCTTTTTGTTGTCTGACAATGCTCTCTGCATACAGAGTTATAGCAAAAGCATGCATCGCTGCTGATGAATGGTCCTTAGTTTAGCTCTCAGTCCGTCTGCAGGGTTAGGGAGACGGCTATCTCATCTAAAGTGATGCTTGGGATGCCTTATGAAATATAACACTGGAACACATTAAAGTGACCTTAAACCCTCAGATTTTTTTAACATAAACCAATACTGTAATGTGCGCCTTACTGTAATCCATGGTTGTTTCCCTTCTCTTTGCTGCTCTTCCTTTTAAATCCTCATTTCTTATGCTTGGGGAGAACTTCCCTTTGCAGCTGATTGCCTCTTCCTGTAGTGCTGGCTCAGGTTGCAAACCTACACACAGACACCATGTATCCATTCCAGAGACAAGGCAGTCTGCTGCAAAACAGAAGTTCTGCCAGCATGAGAGGAGATACGGATTTAAAAGGAAGAGCAGCAAAGAAGGGAAACTACCATGGGTTACAGTAATGCACACATTACAGTATTTTATGTTAAAAAAATCTGAGGGTTTAATGTCACTTTAAGCACTCATTTTGTAAATTAATTTCTGACCCTTTATTAAAGAATGTACAGAAAAGGTGACTAGGACTGCTGATGCTGGAACAGCCAGATATACAGAGCTAGGAAAGTTTTGCTGGATATGTCCTGCAGAAGTCTGGGGACATAATAAAGAGACTGCTAGTGATCAGACCTTACAACTCCTTTACAAGTAAGTGCTCCCAGAGCATTATTCATTGTAGTAGTTTAAAGGAGAAAGCACAGAAAAAGGGAAAACTGAGAAGACAGCCCAAGAAAGTGTGAAAAAGTTCACCCAAACTAAGCAGAACCAAGTCTAAATCATATATTTCCTTTACTGTTCTAAGCTCTGGCAGTATATGGGCTTTGTGGCATTTTTCATAATGCACATATGGTGCTACATTGAGCCATTGCCCTGACCTCCTCATTAGTTCGGGACCCGGTACAGAGTGAGGGGAGGTGTTCCTTGGCCTGCCTTATGCCGCAGGTCACTTGGCACAGAACTGTAGTGTAGAGCAACACTTCTCTTACTGTTTCTGGTTATGAACTGACCAGTGACTAGGGAGTATTAGATCCTGAGGGCCACACAGCAAGTATTAAAGGGGGGGGGGGGTGTAAAGGGTTCAAAACTATAAATGGAGTTCAAGCCAAGAAAAA